CTGTCCACTTTGGTCTCTTTAAGGCATTTTAAACAATTGATAAGGTCAATAGAAACATCAAAGCAAATATGTTCCAGTTTTTAGTACTTCACCTTGTAAATTTGGCTGTTTCTAGAACTACTTTAATGATTTTTTTTTCCTTTTTCTTGATTTGTCTATCTAGAACAGGTCTCTCTTGCAAATGAGTCCTCGTGACTCAACGATTCTAACCTGTAGAAATAAAGGTTGAATGAATTCATCCCTCCATCATTTCATCCCTCGCTCCTCACCTTCCTCTCTGTAGTATCTCTGCAGTCGATCGTCTAATATTTTGCAGATCCCGTCCCCAAAGTTCTGCAGGATCTTGGCCTCTCTCGCGCTCCGGAGAGGAAGAGGATATTTAGTCAAAGAGTTGATCGCCTGGACACACAGGAGCAGAGAGCGTTCTCATTTCTTCTCATCGATTCAAATCTCAACTTCCTTCTTGTGAAAATACTTTTTTTTTTTGGTAGGGGGTACAACAAAAACTTTAATATTATCAAAAACTATACAAAATATTGATCTTTTTGGACATAACTGACAGTAAAGACACTTAAACTGTGTATCACGTGTCTGTTAAATAACTCACATGTTTTGTAAATTCATAAACTTCTGGGATGGAGATAAAAATGTGTTGTTTTGTTGCATTGTACAACTATTTGTCCTTTTTGTGTTTTTATTTTTACTTAACCTGTAGGTTTCATTTCACTGTTTATTTTAAAAAATATACAGTAAAATAAAAGATAAAGCACATTTAAACTTATTTTACAAAGAAAACTGCAGTTATTAAACAAACAATTGTCATAAATGATCTAACTCCTTGAATTTGTTGCACATTTAGACTACTTAAAATATGTTTATTTTTCTTTGCTTTTCTAAAACAGTCATTTATATCAAGCAGATGAATTAAATGAAATATAATCCGGGTCCAGCAGCAGAACCTGCTGTTTTCAGCTGCTACCTTCTGGTACGTGAACTGGGTCTTCCGCCCCTTCTCTTTGGCCTCGTCCCGGAGTTCGGTGAGCCACTGCAGGAACAACGGGTTCGGGCAGGACGGCAGGACGCGTTTCCGACCCCACCGAACCGGTTCCGAAGCTGGCATTCCTCCTGCGGACCGAACAGGCCGAACTAACCGATTAAAGCGAGAAAAGATAAAGAGGAAAATGAACTGAGGCAGAATTAGCTAGCATGATTAGCTTAGCCGCCGGCGCCTTGTTTTCAAAAAAAGAGCGGAGCACTTCCGTTTTGATACGAGTCACGTGACCTGCGGGCTGGAGCGTCTACAGCGACACCCAGCGGCAACAAGAGGAAATACAACCAGACCTGATAGAAAACCAGAAAGTCTTTTTTTCATCACATATTTTTACATAAATTACATACAATACATCCAAATGTCCCGTCTTTTATATATATATACAACCTGTAAAATACTGATGGAATTTTCATTTATCTGAAGGAATCCTCCAAAAGGGATCAGTAAAGTTTTATCTAATCTACATGTTAATGTACATATTTTAGTTTAAGCATGTTTATGTTTAAATTTACATGTTTTCTCTAAATAATAAGTCCATCGCAGCAACATTTCTCCTTCAAAGAAAGAAAGAAAAAAAAGCATAATCTATAAAATAAACGTACAAAATGAAACCACAAATCAGACTATTAAACAACAAAAGGTAAAATTCCTTAAATTTATGGTTAGCTATTTTAACTAAAGTTATGAAAGTTAAAAAAAAAAATCTTACCACTCGCAAACATCAGGTTAAATAGGTTTAATTTACCTTAAATG